TTACCTCTGTTTTATGTGTTCTCATTTTTTTCTTTCTCTCTCTCTCTTTTTTTTTTTTTTTTTTTTTTGAGACAGGGTCTTGCTCTGTTTCCTGGGCTGGAGTTCAGTGGCATGAACATGACTCACTGCAGCCACAACTTCCTTGGCTCAAGCGATCCTCCCACCTCAGCCTTCTGAGCAGCTGGGCCCACAAGCACATGCCACCACACCCAGCTAATTTTTGGAAATTTTTTCTTTTGCAGAGATGGGTTTAGCTATGTTGCCCAGGCTGGCCTCAAATTCCTAAGCTCAAGCAATCCTCCTACCTCAGCCTCCCAAAGTACTTACAGGCTTATAGGCATGAGCCACCATGCTTGACCTTATGTGTTCTCATTCTTCACAAACTACCTTGGTCTTCTCTTGGTGGCTAAGAGGTGCCTGTGGTAGAGAAGATAATCCCCAGTTCACAAGCACATTTCAATTAACACACGTTAAAATGCTATTGGCTGATTCATATCACATGATTAAGCACAGGTTTAATGGATAAAGAGGTAGACTTTAACTGTTGATGAAAGAAAAAGCAAAGTCAAATTTTCTTCAAAAGTAAACTTATCTTTAAATGAACTTTATTTCTTAAGCAGTTTCCATTTCATGATAAAATCAAACAGAAAGTAGAGTTTCCATACACTCACTCTCCCCCAAGCCTTGCTCATGGCTTCCTCTATAGTGATATATTGCATTAGTGTGGTATGTGTGTGGTTACAATTGATGAACCAATATTGATATCTCATGATCAAATACAGTGCATAGCTTTCATTAGAGTTAACTCTATTTGTTGTCTAGTTCTTTGGGTTTGGTCCGAATGCATAATGTCATGTATTCACTATTATAGTATTATAAAAAAATAATCTCAGTGTCCTAAAAGTCCTCTGTGCTCTGCCTAGATCACTGGAAACCACTGATATTTTCACTTTCTCCATAGTTTTACGGATCTTTTCTCTTCCAGATGTCGCATAGCTGGAATCATATAGTATGCAATTATTTTAGGCTGGCTTTTTTCATTTAACGATAAACTTTTAAGCTTCCTCCATGTCTTTTCATAAGTAGAAAACTCACTGTTTTTATCGTGGAATGATATTCCATTCAGTAGACGCATTATGGCTTATTTCTCCATTCACCTTTTGAAGGACTTCTTGGTTGTTTCCAATTTTTGACAAAGATGAATAAAGTTGCTATAAACGTTTATATGCAGGTTTTTGTGTGAACACACCTTTTCAAATTATTTGGGTAAATACTTAGGAGCACAGTTGCAGGACTGTATAATAAGACTGTGTTTATCTTGTAAGAAACTGACAACCTGTATTCCAAAGTGACTATACCCTTTATACTCGTATCAGGCATAAATGAGATCCCTGTTGCTCCACATCCTCATTCATATTTGGTGTTGTCAGCATTTTGCACTTTAAACATTCCAGCAGGTATGTAATGGTATCTCATTGCTTTAATTTGCAATTCCCTAATGACAAATGATGTTGAGGATCTTTTCACATGTTTAGTTGTCCTCTGTAAACTTCAGCTTTTTAATCATAATTATATTGAATTCCCATTCTAATAATTCCCAGATCTTTGTCATATTTGAATCTGATTCTGACTTTTTTTTTTTTTTACTTGATACTGTAGTTTTGCTTGTAGCATGCCCTGTTTTGTTTTTTAAGTCAGACATGATGTATTGGGTAAAATGAATTGAGGTAGTCAAGGCTTTAGAGTGAAGTTTTGTGTTTATCCTGCTTAGATTTAGGCTGTGCCTAGTGTTTGGTAGAGCTGTGTTGTCAGAAGCTAAAATTACGTCTGTGTCCTTGTTTTTTTCTCCTTTGTTGTCTTTGGATTTTCCTAGAGCTCCCTTACATAAAGTCTGAGACTTGTAGTTCTATTATATGCAATCCTCTGCTCTACAGGATCCAAATTGACGTGGTGGCAAGGTGTATGTGAGGGGAGGGAGCCATTCTGTCATCACACAATGAGGTCTCAGTCTGTTAGTGAGTCTGAGTTGGATATTTTCCTTCCCCCATGTCAAAGGCTGAAGGGTGCTGGAGCCGGATATTTCTCTTTATTCAAGTTGAATGCCAGAATGGGCTGGAGTTGGGTATTTTTATTCTCCCAGGTTGGGTAGGGAGGGCTTTGAAAAAATCACAGACAGGCTTTAATAAAATAGTTTTTTTTTTCTTGAAAGCAGGTCTTGTTCAGGAAAATAGTAAGCTCTGGACATATTTCAGAATGGTTAATTTTCTTCACCCAGCGCTGGAAGCATAATAACATTTTTCTGTAATTTTTGTAATGAGTACCTGGTTAGATTCCTGGAGGTAAAACATGAAAGTGTGGGGTCCATCTGCATTGGGCCCCTTTAGGGTTTTTATTTCACAAACTGGTAAACTTTGTACCTCCAGCAATGATCCTAACAGTGGCTCCAGCTGTGGACTCTTGCTCCTGACAAGCTCTGATGCTCTGCATCCAGCTGTCCTTCCAGTTTTAGAGACAGCAGTTTGCCCATTGACCTCAATCCTTAAAGAATATAAGAGTAGTTGTTGATTTTCAGTTTGTTCAACTTTTTTCTGTGAGGATGGGAGTGACAAATTCCAAGCTCTGCATGTCATATCAGGAACTGAATGTCTCACAAACTCACATTTTGAAAGCATGTGCATAAAGGAATGGGAGGCATTTGTAGCCAATTTTTTTTTGCAGTTTACCACAAAAATACATGTTTTAGTGCTTTCAGTGACATTAATATATCTCTTCTCATTGTAAAAATGGCTGCATGAATTTATATAAGTAACAATTACCTAACATTTTTAATTTCTTACTTATGGGCCAGGAAGTGGTATGTATTATTGTATTAATCTTCCCTCAAGCATCTAATGTTAGGAATTGAGATCATTATTTCAAAGCAAAATAGATCAAAGTTTAAATAGATATGCAGTCCCTATAGTACTGTCTGCTTTCATATATACTCCTGGTCCTTTTGTTCTTTTAATCAGTAACATCAGGCCATATTTCCCAAAAAGCAATGTCAGCTATCTCCCAGGAAGTTTGGCCAATGGAGGCGCTAGAAATCTGTCAAAAGTCAGGAGGAAGGAAAAGCAAAGACGCTTCTCCCTCTTCTTTTGTGCCCCGAGCACAAGGTATACTGTATATTTTGTATACCTAGCTGCTGCATTATGAGACAGCCTCAATGTCCATGGTGAGGCTTCATGTCTCAGCAGACACATCCACCTTGATTTGTGCTTTCAGGTTATTGCATAGACTCTAATAACAATAGCTCCTTCCTTTGCCCCACTAAGAGATAATAGAGGCATCTCTTCTTGCTAATATCTTAGTTGCCTCGTTTTACATTGCTCAACCTCTCAGCCTGCTTCATCACCTATGAATCTAATTCCATTTGTATAATCCATCTATTTTATTTATGGCTAATATTTTATTTCCTTTGGTTGAACTCATTTAAGCAGCAGCTTTCCAAAGTTTCATACCTTTTTAGAACTATAGATAAAATATAGACCCAAATCCAATTCCTAATCCTCCCAATCTCTGGTGCCTCTTATGTGAAATATTTAAGTTTCATATAAAATGAAACTTCTAGAAAAAGATTGATGTTCCCAGAAAGATTAGAGCAGATACTGCCTCTAAAAAATGAGAACAATGTCATTTGAAATAGAAATAAATATCAATGAAATACAACTGTTTGAAGACAAATGCAAAGAAAAGCCCCCATGAAGTAAAACAAAAAGTCAAAGACATGGATACTTGGAGATAAAACATTTATGGTTTAGCTGGAAAGAAGATTTTAAAAACAATGTAATATACTTACATCTTCTTGTAATGGTGGAGTGATTTGGGTAAATTGCCTTGCCCACAAGTAACATTTATAAAACATGGACAAAATGTTAATAATAACAAACTTTTTAGAAAGTGACTAAAAGTGGGAAGCAACTGGAGAAATATATCATTTGTACCAAAGAGATTTGATAGTTGTGGCTTCCTTTTTTGCATAAGATTATTACTTAATCGGAACATGCTGTTTGTATGGTAAAAAGTCATAGTCTTACTAGCTTGAGGTGTACAGAAAATAGGAGCTAGGAGAACAGATGAAAGCTGAAATGAGAAAAATCTGGAACAGAAGGAAATACATAGGAGATGTGCACAAATAACCTATACATAAACCCTGACCTCTATGCGTGAGAGTTCCTCGGAGATCCACAAGACCCAGTGAACAAACAGAAGCTGAAATCTGAAATAATTGAACAGATTTCAGCTGGTGTTCATTGATAGAGAGAGAGAGAGGGAGAATGAGAGAAAGGGAGAGGGCACTGTATTTGTAGGATCCACCCAAGTGAACTGCTTGCTGAATGGTGGGCATGAGTTTGGAAGATACTTCGGGGGAATATAGTAGAATCTAGGGTATTAATAACATATTATTCACAGTGTTGTACAAAAAACTAAAAGTCACTAACCAGAGAGAGAAAATGTAAAATATGACCCATGCCTAAGGAAAGAAAAAGAATTGACACAGTCATTGAGATGAGCTAGAAGATGCACTAACCTTAAGGCAGCTGCTGTAAATATTTTCAAGTATTAAACAAAAATATACTTTAACAAATAGATGAAAAATTAACTACCTCATGAATTATAGACACTAGAAGTTAAACCAAATACAAATTCTAGAGCTGAAAAGTACAATAAATAAGATAAAAAGCACACTAGATAGGCTTGTTGATGGGATATAATAGAATGTAAAACTGTTTTACAGGTGACTTAAAGGTAATCAATAGAAATTACACAGTTACAAGAACAAAGACAAATGGATGAGAAAAAAATAAGCAAAGCCTGAGAGGCTTATGTAACAATATCAATCAGTTCAACATAATAGTAATCTTATCATCAAAAGTAGTTGGCAGGGAGGAGTTGGAAAACAAAATAAAGAAAGGATGGCCAAGACATTCCAAATTTAGAAAGAAACATTTATCTTTCAGATCCAAGAAGCATAGCAAATGCCACTGATGATAAATACAAAGAGAACTACAGCTAGCCACATCATATTCAAACTGTGGAAAGATAATGTTAAGCAGAAACTGTGAAGGCTGACATTACAAAAAGGGGAATATAGATACAAGTAACAACTGATTTCTCGCTAGAAGCAATGGAAGACACAAGAAAATTGAATGGAATCTGGTAAGTGCTGAAAAAGACTGTTTACATCAAATACTGTATCTAGCAAAATTATTTTTGCTAGATGAAACAGTGATGAAATAAAGGCATTTTCAGGTAAAGAATAACTGAGAAAATGGGTTGCCCATAACCTTCACTAAAATAAATGCTTACAGGAAGTTCAAGCTGAAGGAAATGACACAGAGGCTAACTCAGATTTGCAGGAATTAATGACAAGAAACAGACATGGTAAATGTGGGAAAATGTACAAGATTATGTCTATATGTCATTTACTTTATGCCCTTATTTTTGTTATTGGAATGTTATAACATTGATTATAAAGAATATAATTCACTTAGGTATGCTATATGTGATAATAACATAAATGGCACAAAAGTGTTGAGGTGCAACTGCACTGTTTCAGGTTTCCAAATTCTACATGATATAGTCCAATATTCACTCAAAAGGGATTCTAATTAAATTTAAAAGAAAAACCTCTAAAATTAATGCAAAGGGTTATATTTAAAGGACAAAAAGGCCTTAAAATTTAATACTGAAAATATTTTAATTTAGCAGAGAGCATAGAAAAGATTTAAACAAATGGATGAGAAAAATAGAAAATAAATAGTAAAACAGTTGACATAAATTTATATAGACATATATGAGTACTCCAATGGAAAATAAGTTTGTTAGACTTAATAAAACCAAAATATCCAACAATATATCTATTGAGATGCACTTTAAAAAATCATAAGTAGACTGAGATTAAATTATCAGTGAGCAAAAAAAAAAAAAAAAAAAAAAGGCAGAGTGGCAATATTAATATCAGAAACCCTAGATTTCAAGAAAAGATATATTACTACATGTGAAGGACAGTTTGTAATAACAAAAGCTGCAGTACATGAGGAAGATATAAAAATTTAAATGTGTATCTTCCTGAAATCAAAATCATCTCAGTAAATGTGGCAAAAGCTTATTACAAATTTAGCATTCATTCAAGATGAAAATCTCTCAATATAAAAGGAATGAAACAAATTTCTTAACCTAATAAAGGTCATCTGGAAAGATATCACTAGCATCATATTTATTGATGAAAGAGTAGATTATTTCCACCAAGATTGAAAAATATTCAAGAACTCTTACTTCACCACTTCAATTCACCTTTGTACTAGAAATCCTATACAGTACTGAGAAAAATAAGTAAAAGGCATATAGATTTTAAAGGAAAAAGTAAAACTATTCACAGATGACATGCTCATGGATAGAGAAAATAATGAGGAATATGTCTTGGAGTAAAGTAGTAAAGTTAGCATGATTGCAAAGTATAAGGTCAATATACAGTAATCAATGATATATTTAGGTACTAAGAGTCGAAATTTGAAATTGAAATTGTTTAAGTTCCATTTATAATAGCATGATAAAATATAAAATATTTAGAGATAAATTTAACAAATGTGCAATGCATCTGCATGAGAGTTATAAAATATTGCTGAGAGAAATCCAACATACCTCAGTAAATATATTTAATGCAAACTCAGTCATAATCTCAGCAGGAATTTTTATAGAACTTGGCAACCTAATTCTAAACTCATATGTAAATTCAAAGAACCTTAAATAACCAAGGTATGATATGTAATGTTTATACATATTTTTGGAATACATATATTGATACAATGTGTGATGATTGAATTAGGGTAATTGGAGTATCTGTCACCTCAAACATTTAGTTTTATCTTTGTGTTGGGAACATTACATTTCTACTAGCTATTTTGAAATACACAATAAATTATTGTTAAGTGTAATTTTCCTACTGTACTATCAAATACTAGAACTTATTTTTTCTATCTAAGTGTAGTTTTGTACCCATTAACTAACTTCTCTTCATCCTCTCCCACCCACCAACTTCCTTTTCCAGCCTCTGGTAACCACCATTCTACTCTCTCTCTCCATGAGATCCACTTTTTTAGCTCCCACATATGAGTGAGAAATTATGATTTCTGTACCTGGTTTATTTTACTTAACATAATAACCTCCAGTTCCATCCATTTTGCTACAAGTGACAGGATGTTATTTTTTTATGTCTGAATAATATTCTATTGTGGATATGTGCCATATTATCTTTATCCGTTAATCCATTGCTTGACATTTGGTTTGATTTCAGATCTTGGCTATCCTGAGTAGTAGTGCTGCAATAGACATTGGAATGCAGACATCTCTTTGATATACCGACTTCCTTTCGTGTAACTATATACCAAGGAGTGGAACTACTGTATTATATCTTAGTTTGACTTTTAGTTTTTTGATGAACCCTCCTACTATTGAGAAGCACTTTAAAAACATCATATGAAGACTAAGAGTAAATTATCAGTGAGCAAAAAATAAAAAGTAGAGTGGCAATATTAACATCAGAAAGCCTAGTAAGTTCATTTGAAACAAGTTCAATGAAACAAGGGGTTCTTTCAACTGAAAATAAATAACCTAACCTTGGAGAAATGTGTAAACTCTTTGTGAGTACAGTCTTTTTCTCTCAGCTCAAAACATGTTATCTCAGTTCAAAACAGTTCAAAAAGTGTTTTAAAATACATAAGAATATGGTTATAATGTTACTGCAAGGAAGCTGAAGCAACTGTAAGGAAGTTGAAGACAAGCAACCCAACACAAGAATGGCCAAAAAGCTTCACAGAGGAATAGGTTACCAATGTATACATAAAACGTTGCTAAATATCATTACTTGTGAGGAAAATGCGAATTAAAACCACAAGTTACTGATATAATCTCACTTAAATGCTAGAATTAAAAACAAGAGGCCCAGTGAGGTGGCTCATGCCTGCAATTGCAATACTTTCAGAGGATGAGGCAGGAAGATCACTTGAGCCCAGGAATTTGAGACCAGCCTAGGCAATATAGTGAGACCCTATCTCTACAAAAAATAAAATCAAGTAAAAATTAGCCAGGCATGCTAGCATGTGCATAGTTCCAAATACTTGGGAGTCTGAGGTGGCAGGATCACTTGAGCCTGGAAAGTTGAGGCTGCAGGGAGCCGCGATGGTGCTACTGCACTCCAGCCTCGGCAACAGAGCAAGACCCTGTCTCCAAACAAACAAACAAACAAACAAACAAAAACATACAAACCTTAACAGCATCAAAAGTTGGGGAGGATGTGTGGGAACCACACACTTTTATATTACTGGTGGGAATACCGATGATCTAACTATTTTAGGGAAAGTTTGAAGTTTCTTGTGTTGTTACACAGTCACAGTAGTTTCACTCCAACTTTCCGAGGAGATATTTAAACATATATCCATAGAATGATACAACAAGAACATTCACAGCACCTTTATTTACAATAACACCAAACAAGAAATACTAATACCCATTAACAAAAGAATAGATGTACAGTTTGCATTGTTTTTATGTAAAGAAATAATACCTGTTAATAAAAAGTAACAAACTAGTAAATTCCCAACAATAAGGATTAAACTTACAGGCAAACCAAACACAAAAGCCTACACTATGTATGATTGCATTAATGGGAAGACTAAACAGTTAGTACCTACACATTTCATTGTATTGAAAGTTTACTTCAAAAACCCTATATGTGCACAATAGTGTAGAATTACATTTCAATAACCAATACAAACACCTTGCTAAGAAAATATCAACATTACCCAATTCCAATTGTAACACTTGAATATGATAAGAAAAACAAAGACTTTAAAATTTTGTCAATTATTAATCCCCAAAAGGTGCCAAGCCCAAACTGATTCATAAGCAATTTCTATCCGTTGTTAAAAATATTTTGTTATCCCATATTGCATAGACTTTACTAGAACAGGGAAAATGATTAAAAAGTTCGCATACACATTTTACAAGACCTGTAAAACTTCGATGCCAAAACTGAAATGAAATAGAAGAAATATAAGCTAAAGTCACATACACTGAAATTCATAAATTTAAAAAAAAATCAGAGGCCTTCATGATCTGAGTCTAAATGAGGAAATGCTATTAATTTGCAATGCTTTTAAAACAAAATGGCCAGCATTTTAGAGAAGATTGTAAAGAAAGGTTTATTTAGGTTTAAATTTGACAAAACACAATTAAACTTATGAACATAATTTAATGTCATAGTTAACAAAATTCAGTTTATGATTGCTCTGTTGCCATTGTTAAGCATATTAAACATTAGCACTCCAAGACATTCATTATTGCTGTTATTATTGTTGTTTTCCTGAAGCCATGACATGCCAGAATTCCACTGCTTTCTCTTTACTCAACATTTGCACGCTGCAAATTATCATGTGGGCAGAGCATTTTTACAAAACAGTTTTGAGAGTTTCATCACTTTCTTCAATAACATTTTAATCTTTTCACATTTAAGTACACATCTTACCTTAGTTATTTTTTGTCTTCGATTTTCTTATCTGGTTGAAATATGAAACTGTTTTTTAAATTTTTTTGTGATATGCCTGAACATCCTGTCTAAATTCACTCCTCTTCCTACCTTCATGCTCTGTTCTCCTACTCTGCTTTGTATTTGGCCTTGTAGTTTCTTGTCATATTTGTCACTAACCGGCACTTTATTTTTGTATAATTTGTTTATCTGTGTCTTCTAATAGAACATAATATCTATAACATGTAGAGACTTTATTCATTTGGTTTCACAGTTATATCCCCAACAAATAAAATCATTCCTGACACACAGTAGTTGATTCATTAATATTTATTGAATGAATTACTTGTACTTTCAACAGTGAATTTTACTAACTCCTAAATTTCTACATCTTCTGTGATATCTATGATTTTATTGTGCAATCTGTTTATATTATATTTGTCAAATAACTAGAATTTCTGACAATCAGAGATAGACTTAAGGTTTATAGCATGAGCTGTGATAGACACCCAGTGTTAAACAGGGAGGGACATTTGAGTGGAGATCAATATAATTTACCAGATAAATAAAATTGCATTTTGGTCCTTTCTAGGAAACTTGCAATGCCAACTCACATTATGAATACTTAGATACTGGGTATCCGTGCATTAATAATACAATCTAGCAATATATCAAAAATATTAAGCCCAAACTAAAAGACTTTAATTGTAAAAATTCAAAGATAATTCAATATTATAAAATGTATCAATGTGTTTTATCTTTTTAAATATTATAGAAGAAAAACAAAGTAAGCTTATCTAACGGGACATTCAAAAAAGTATGTCCAAGTAAATGAATAAATCTTCTTAGTTCAAGGACAACAAAAATCAATATTGTAAA